GGTACTTACATGTATGGTATTCAGCTTTGTTCAGGTATTTTCCCACGTCATTGTAATTGTGCTTTTAAAGTTGTAGCAACGTTTTGGCAGAATCTCATCTGCCATCATCAGGCTTCTGTATTGTGTCCGTCTGGATACATAATACAGACGGACACAATACAGAGCCTGATGATGGCAGATGAGATTCTGCCGAAACGTTGCTACAACTTTAAAAGCACAATTACAATGACGTGAGAAAATACCCGAACAAAACTGAATACCATACATATTTATATGTGTGTGTGTATGTGTGTGTGTGTGTGTGTGTGTGTGTGTGCCTAAGTGCTCACTGCTATTGCTATAGCAGCCGGTGGCAAGACAGTGATTTTCACTATTTGTTCTCAACTGGTAGAGGTGGGGTGGGATCACAGAGCAATTTCAAAGTACTTTGGAAGATCTGGTAAGAGAAAACTTTATTTTTTCTTCATAGCATCTTGCCACAACTGCAGGGTACTTTTTTCCTGGAACAACTAAGTTTGACCCAAGCAACAAGCCTGACATTGTCATGAGCTGAGAGAGAGTGACTGACTCAAAGTCACCTAGCTGACTTTCATGGTTAAGGCAGGACTAGAACACATAGTCTCCTGGTTTCTAGTCTGGTACCTTAACCAGTAGACCAAATTGGCTCAACAATTTATCCAACAGTAGTAATGTAGAAATCCCTGTGGTCAATAGAAGTAGCAAACCAAATGAACTGTCAGATTAATTGATAATGAATTGATATAGTTCTGAGATAATATAATCAACTGTTTGAATTATCTTTCTGCTCTCTACAAAAAAAACCACAACTTTTTGCAATTAATAAATTAGCACCACACAGCAAAAGGTAAAACAGAATTTTTGTACCTCATTTTTCTTTTTTTCTCAATTTTTACTTTATGACATACATCACCTCCATACTGCATAAACCAATAGTGTTTAAGATAGGATGTTTAATTTCATAAAGCCATGATTTCAAAAATTAACATATTTCATTATCCTCTTTGCAGGAACCATTATTCTTGTACTGTTTTTTTCCCCATCATACAAGCATCAAACTCACATTATTTCATGATTCTTTTTCACAGTTGCAATCTGTCTGAGAGAGAAGTAATTGTTGATCAGTTTTAAGACTAAAAAATGAGATTCTGTGACTTTCCCAAGATTAATCTTTTAAGTATTGGCTCAAAAAAGTATTAAGTTCAAGACTGAAATCTTGGGGTATGCATAAATGAAATATCTATTTTACTTCAAGCTTGAAAAAAACTATTCCTTCTGGAATATTACATCACAATATTTCAAGCTGTCTGTACTTTGACAGAGCAAAACCTGAAGCAAATAAAATGTTTTGTAACCTTTTTTTTCACTACAGTTTCACAAGAATAGGAGGGACATGACTTCATGTTGAGGGTTACCAACACGCCAACTTGAGGATGATGATGATGAAGAAGATGATAATAAAATAACTTTCTGCTAGGGGAAAATTTACCAATAGAAGAGAGTGTAAGTAGTTCAGGGTAGTTCAACTGAGTCTTGGTGCTCTCTGCACTTGACTGTTTTGTTGCAGACATTTCATTACCCAACTAGGTAACATCTTCTGTGCTAGAAGGGAGTGGAGATTGCTTTCTGTTTACCGTATATACAGTAGCTTGTCCAGAGGCCCAGAGCCCAAAAAGTCATATTTGGATCCAGACTTGGCAGTTTTCAGCCCTCTGGCTAGTGCCTGGCAGACTAGTTGAGAAGGATATTGGACTAGTTGAGAAGTTACTGCATATAAACGAAGAACCAATGCACTCCCTTCTAGCACTGAAGATGTTATCTAGTCAGATAATGAAACATCTGCAAGAAAACAACCAAGTTCAGAGAACACCAAAGATGCCATGTGTAAAGATTTGTTTCATCATCCGATGCTGTCTTTCTTCAAGTACAACTATACACGTCTTCATTTACCTTGGGACGGGGAGCTATGCTATTTTAAAAAAACCTGCTTATTAGCCTGATCAGTTTAAAAAAACAATTAACTGACTGATGGACAGACTGACTGATTGTGTGCCCCCAAAACAATGCATAGATCTTAATCTCTTGCACATCCCTTTCAAATCAATTAGGGAAAGAAGGAAGGAAGGAAGGAAGGAAGGAAGGAGGGAAGGAAGGAAGGAGTATGCACAACTATTGACATGGAAAGCCACCTTATTCTGGAAATACAGCCTTTCCCCACCTATCTGCCAGCATTTACACCCTACATGTAAATTATATTTACATCCCCAGTAGCAAAAAAAAAAAAAAATCATGCACAGACATACACAGGCTGATACCAAAGGCTGAGCAGAGTACACAAAGGCAAAGTTAATTTGCATAGAGTCTGCTGCATTTTTAAATGCACTTGCATCTCTACAAACAAAAGAACTCAAGAAAACACACTGAGTACAGTGGTAAACACCAAAAACTCAGCAAGCCACCCAAAGTTACTTACTTCCCTTTTCAATGGAATTTCAATCAAAAACTCCCAAAGAGCCATTGCCAAAGAATCTGAAGCAAGCCATCCTTCAAACAGCTCAGAAAATAAAAGATGGCTATGTGAAATGATGACTGAGCTTAGGTATGCATATACACTTTGCAAATGTTCATTTGTCCTATTGAGGGTGCCTTAGAAGAGCAAGTCTCCCTGCATTTATACAGGTATTCTGAAATACAAATCAGCATGAACATACACAGAACACACCCACACTTTTAAGCTAAGTAGACCAGACCAATATTGTATTACTTTTTCTCACTGACATTTCACTTGCTTTTCTTTATATACACAAGCACATTCACAAACTGTACAAATATTTTACAAAACAGCAATGGCAGCCTGGAATGGTGTGAAGGATGGGGGAAACAATCAGATCCCAAATGGTTTCTTTAAAATGCCAGTAGCATTGCTCCAAAACTCCATCCCCAGATCATACTACCAACCCTAAGCCAGTCGTATTAAGTACATGACTGGCTATCTTGCTATACTGGCCTAGGAAGGAAAATTCTAATAGCTAGAGGCAAGTCCCTTTTTAACTGCATCACATAAAACAGTAGAAAACACTAGAAATGTTCTCCCTTGAAATGATCACATTGTGTTTTATGCTTGAACCAAAACTCATGAAGCATATACATTTTGTTTTGAGCATGAACTGCTCAAAGCAGCTGTTTGGATTTAACATGTTTTCAACAACCCTATTAAAATGTATTCAATGTCAGTCCCTGTGTTGTAAGTCTTGCGGTAGATATTTCTAACATTCCTGTACTGTATTTGGGGGAAAAAGATCAATTTCTAGATTCTCAACCCTAAGGAACCATGTTAACTTATAAAAGCAGAGTATTTGCAGTTTATTCAGTAGTATTGCCCATCATGGAGTTCATTTTGGCACCCAGTTTTTTCATAACATGCCCCTTAAAATAAATGTCCAGGAATAATATTTTAAGGACAAAAAATTCACTTGGCCCTAATTTCATAACTCCTTGTATGAAAAATGTACCTTTCTTTCATCTTTACCTCACACACATTCACAGATATGCAGCCCTGATACAGACTCGGATCATACTGTGGGAGTATTTGCTTCTAACAATGATTCATATTTAGAATAAGCCAGAAGTGGGATAAAGATTTATTGATTGATTTATGAGGTATATGTGGCAACATAATGTTTAGGTGGGGAACAATGAACCATTAAAATCACAACAACTAGAAATGACAGGCACTTAGGAACTCACAAAACCCTAAACAGTAATTCCGATCAATCTATTTCCAAATACAAGGAAAAAGGCACGTTTTAATGCCTTTCCAAGGACCATCAGGATTGGGCCATTCAGATCAAAAACATAATACATGACAAATTTAATTGTCTCATCTACCTACCAGACAGAACATAAAGCTAAATACTTACATAGTTTGATCTTGTTTCTTTTTTATTTCTTCTCTCTAACACCACCGATCTCTAAAATTACTAGATTTTAAGCCTTCTAAGAAAGGGGCTGTCAATCTCACTTGGCAGTCTTATAACTTTAAGGAAAATGCTGACTTTATAGGTTCATATTTTCACATAGCAAAGTGTGAAATTTTGGGTTTCCACATGCAAAGCAATATATTTCTTGGTCTTTTTTTTTTGTTACCTATTGAGTATTTAGCTTACTTATGACAGACAAAGATGGGTAGTGGTTTTTATTTATTGTTTACTTATTTATGATACATGCCTAGGCCACCTGGCTAGCAAATACTGCTTGTCTTCAGTCTGTAAAGTCTGAAGTTTTGGAAAACAGCCATGAAACATCCTCAAACTGGTTCAGAAGAAATGGAAAATATCCATAGTTCTTAAACTTCCTCCAACTAAGTCACCTTTTTCTTCTCACTATACTTCTACCATTTAGATTTTCTTTAACAATCTAATTAAAATTATAAAAGATAAGATAGACCACAAAGACAAATTATCTTATACATTTTGGTGGATTACAGTCTACTTTATCATATATATTTTGTTACATTGTCATCTACTAAAGTTTATATTTTTATTTCTTCATGCTACGAATGACGAAGATACTGTAGCTACTTCTTTAGAACCTATTTAAAGTTCTGAAAACCTTTTAAACGATACCACTGTTTTTTAAACTCTACTATACATTTTGATCATTCTCCAATAGACAATGCAGCTATTTTTTCCCTGGCATTATTTGAGCACAAGCTTTTTTCTTAGAACTCTAGGCTACATTTTTATGTAGTCAGATCATTCTCTGATTATGTCTACTGCCTTCTAAATATGAGAAAAATATTTTTTTTAAAAAACCCTGTAATCAGAGTTGGAGTGAGACTTAGAAGTATTGTAGTCCAGATTCAAAATTAGTGGAAATATGGCTTCCTTTCATGATGACAGTCCAGCTCTGTTTTAACATCTCTAGTGCTAAAGTTACTTCCTTTTAAGTCAGTCTATTGGAAAGCTCTTTCCATAGGAAATGTCTATTTAGCTTCTAACAAACATTCCAAAAATTTCTACCCATTGGTATTAGTCTTACAGCAACATTATCATCACCATATCTTATCACATGACCTTTCCTGGAGCAGAGGTACAATCAACCTCCTTTACCTAAACTGCAGGTGTTAATATCAGGTGAATGAAAATAATTTCTCTGCATTTGTAATCTAATACTAATTTTCATTACCACTCTTCCTTACCTGTCTCTCATTGTGTTTGCCATGAATTTCCACAAAGTCCTCGATGACTTTCACACTTAAATCTTCAGGGGAGAAATGCTTTACATCCAAAAAGACAAGAAACTTGTCTCGGTCAGATCTCACCTGGAAATGAAATAAAGACCACACAAACACATCCCCCCAAGAATTAAATTTTAAACTATTAGCATGATTAGGTGATTAAGTTATTTTTATTCTCTTCTCTCAGATTACATGATGATGTCCTCTGCAATACTGTTTATAACGTTACAAGAACAAAATACCTGAGCTTTTAAAAAGTAGTCTCAGGGCTAGTTGGAGATGAACTGACTGGGGGTGCTAAATACCTACTACTGCAATAAATATTGAGTTGGGGAGTTTTTGTACTAGCCAGATTTTTAAAATAATTTGTATATAAAAATATGGTAGAAGACTACTGTAACATATTAAACTAAAATGGATGTAAGTTATAGTATTTTTGCCTTTCCTCAACTTATATGAGTCTAGATGACGTTCTCTCTCTCTCTCTCTCTTTGGAAAACTTCTGAAGGTGAGAAAGAGTAACTACACAGGAGGTAGTAGAAGTTATCCATTTTAAGTACTATTTTAAGATTGATATGTTAAAATGACAACATTGATTTATTCAAAGCATATGATAGATTTGGATGTAAATTTTGGATTTGTATAAGTTCCTACTGAAAAGCTTCTTGCAATGCACTTTCTGTGAAGTCCTTTCACTTCACATTAGGATCACAGCACTTAGTGGTTTGGGCATTCATCTATTTTGTGAATAGATTTTTTTTTCATTTCCATCAAATCATTTAGTACAAGTTGTAATTCATTGACCTTAAAAATATATACTTACATAAACATTTTAGTAATCTTCAATTTCTCACTGATTTTTAAAAGTAATCACTTTGTCACCTGAGTTCTTGCTAGCTTGTTGACTTGTATTTTACATAAGTTTGCAGAATATGGAACAGAACAAAGAGTAAACAGGTCGCATTTCAAAACTGACTGTTCTGGATACATGGTCTCAGTAATGCTTTATCTTTATAAATGGTTGATAGGCTATTCTTTCATATAGGCCATTATATAGCACTCTGATCATAACATGCATAATGTTTTCTGTAAGGAACATATAAGGTAATAGTTGAAGATGAATTTATTTCTAGCTACAAAGAAACCATTTGATTTGAATACAAATGTCATACCCACAAACATGTGCTTTCAGCTAAGCATGTATATATGCATTCTAGTCCATATTTAGCAAATATTTAACTATATTAAGAACAAATATACTTCTTCCTTTCACATTATCATCACAAGGCACCTGCATTACAGTTTAAGTTTGTGATAACAAGAACAGTCTGCTATTGTTCTTTGGCCATCTAACCTGCCTATAGTATTGATAAGTTTGATTAAATTCTGGAACAATTTCAGATCATACAAACTATTGTAAATCCTATCATATTCTAGTCTCTAGTCAGTGTTGCCAGAAATCAAAATCCTGATGGTTTAGTGTTGCTTTTAGGAGAGATTTTTAAAATAGTTTAAATATATTGAAGTATAGGAGTCTTACCTCCGAAACACCTGAGTCCAGCAAAGTACGGAAGAAAGATTGCCTGTAGTATGGGTTGATGGTAGAAGAAAACAAAGGCAGGAGATCATATTCAAAAAAACCATCTCCAAAAAAATGGTCAAAAAAGCGGCTTGGAATTAAAGGTCCAAGAGCTCGTTTGAACCAGGGATGCTGAATGGTAATATCCATGGTTTTTGCTGTGGCTGCAAGCTTAGAAGTGGGGGGAAAGGCAATACAGTCACTTTGATGAAAGTGAGGTCTTAGCTGAACCACACTGTGGGATTATAGAAAATGTCCCTCTTTTTATACCACTTTGGCAGAATGAAGGCATCAGCGGGATTTCTGGAAAGACATGATCTCATTATGAAGGTCAATCTGGTCAGCAGAAATTGTAGGGACTGACCTGGGAGTGACAGTCTGGTTAAAATCAGTGCCAGCGGGCTGGACAGTCTTCAGCATTCTCTGGAGAGAAGAGCTATTGTATTATTTATCAGCCAGCCATAGCACGGTCTTTTGCCTAAGGACTTATAAGGGAACATTTTACCCACAATATCTCAGATATTTGTAAATCCTACCTACATCTCTCTAATTCTTTTTGCCTGAGATCAAGGAGGAGAAAGGTGATTTTTTCCCCTGAAATGAATATATCACTCAGGATTACAGATGTTTTATTTTAGACTGAAAAGAATTTAAAGAAAGCAGTTGAAAGAACTTGTGATATAATACATGGAGGAAAATTTAAAAAATGACAGTTTAACCTGTGGACAGTTTCACCTGTGGACATACTGAGCTGGATATAGGAGCTATAAATCAAGAATCCAAATTCTATATACTTTATTAGTCAGTATGAATGTGTAAGTATTCATTTTAAAAATACCCCAAATGTGCTTAAAGTAAAATAATGATGAGTTTTCCCTACTTTTGCATAACTGCTAGAAAAGGAGATTCTGATTGGGAACGCAAGACATAAATGTTGTATGGTCAGTATTTGTGCATTTATCCTGGCAGTTTGAAATTGCATCAAAATTGTCAAAATAAATCTCCACAGGTTAAACTGTCATTTTTTTATTTTCCTCCATGCATTATATCACAAGTTCTTTCAACTGCTTTCTTTCAATTCTTTTCAGTCTAAAAAAAAACATCTGTAATCCTGAGTAATATATTCATTTCAGTAGGGATGGGCAACATAAAAATTTAATTAAACAAAGAAAGAAAGAAAGAAACAAATAAAATACTTACTTTGCGCATCTTATTATTTGAAATATATATATGACTGCCCATATTGCACCAAATGACCCCAGGAAGCTAACAAACTAATATACAAATAATACAATAATTTTTTTTAAAAAGAAAAATTAGCTGACAGATTATTATATGCCATAACATTATCTGCTGAAAAACACACCAATGCTGTGCTTATTCTGGCCCAATACCTGAGGAAAAAGCTTTTGTAATGCAAGGAAGGTTAAGCAACCTCTGTATCTTATGCATGAGACTCTACCGTGGACTAGGCACAGCTACAAGAAAGGCTCACTTGCTCAGTCCTCCCAAATGTCAACATTTAACCAAAGGAACCTAGAGTGACTTCATCTTATCCAATGTATTGACATGAATAGATGTTCTAGGGAGAGATACTTGACCCTGTTCCATACAAGTATTTCAGAATAATATCCAGCACCTTGAATTACACCCCCAAAGAAACTATAAATCAATGCAGCTTGTGCAACAGAGAAACCACAGAGCACCCAAACTGTGCCCACTGCTGCATTCTGGACCAGTTGAAGTTTCTGAGTGCTCTTGAAAAGCAGCTCCATATATATATTACAGTGGTCCAAGAGGGAAGTGATTACAACATGAGTAATTATGACTGAGCCTGTTTAGTGCAAGAATAAAGCAATCTACCTCCTCAAAAAGGTTTGATTTTTGTGTGGTCTGCAAATATCTGGTGGATAAAAAGACCTTGTCACCCACTTGATATGGTTTTTGTGGAGTTCTCTTTTTATCTGCAAATTTTTTATGGGCTTGATGAGCATCATCTAATGCTTTACGGGTAACCGGCCAGGTAAGCTGGAGCAGTGTTATCCATTCATCTAATGACTGAATGTTAGGTTTCTCCTGTGGAAGCTCAGGTATAGGTACAAAGTCTTGTCCCGAAGCCACTTTAAAAGGAGTAAACCATAGTACTACTATGTACCGAATTGTTATATGCCACCTCAGCGAATGGCAGTAGGTCCACCCAATCATCTTGCTGATAATTTATATAACATCTAAGATACTGTTCCAATACCAAGTTAGTTCTCTCACAAGCCCCATTGGTTTGTGGGTGGTGTGTGGAGCTTAAGCCCTGGGCGGAGCCCGATAACTTCAGGAACTCCTTCCAAAAGTTTAAGGTAAACTGGACACCCCTGTCTGAGATTATGCGTTCAGGAACCCCATGTAACCTGTACATATGTAAAATAAACAGTTTAGCCAACGTTTTTGCAGATGGGATTTTTGGACAAGGAATGAAATGTACCTGTTTGAAAAACAAATCAGTTACTACCCAAATAACTGTATTCCCCCCACTTTCAGGTAATTCCACTATAAAATCCATAGAGATTTCCTTTCATGGAGCAGTTGGTCAAGTCACATTTTGTAGCAAGCCTGCTGGTTTACCAGGAGGCTGTTTGGCTGAGGCACAGATAGGACAACTAGCTACATAAGTCTCAATGTCCTTTTTCAAGGTAGGCCACCAAAATTGCCTTTTAACCAAGTGTAAGGTTTTCATTAATCCAAAATGACCAGTGGCTTTAGAGTCATGAGCTTGCTGTAGTATTTGGTTTCTCAGCTTCACTGGCACATATAATTTGGCCCCCACCCATGCCAATCCATCTCTAACCGTACAGTTATTTGAGTGAGCAAGAAACCAATCATCAAGTTTTAAAGCATCTCTTAATTGTGCAGTCAAATCATTTGATAAATCAACCTCCTTCTTTTTCTGGGGTCTGGTAACCACTGGAGCTGCCAACTATTTGGTTGGGACAATCAGCTGTACCACTTCTTGGCGAGCACTATTATATTGAGGTAATCTAGATAAAGCATCCACCATGAAGTTCTCCCCCCCTGGAATGTACTTCAATGAAAAATTAAAGTGCTTAAAGTACTGCGCCCAGTGAACTTACTTGGGAGACATCTTCCAAGGTGTTTTCAAAGCCTCCAAATTTTTATGATCCGTCCACACCTCAAATGGGTGTTTTGCCCCTTCCAAGAAATGCCTCCAGGTTAACAGAGCCCAGAGAACTGCAAAAGCTTCTTTTTCCCAGATGGCCTATCTTCTTTAGGTTTCAGTTAGTTTACAGGAAGTATATGCACACGGTTGCAGAGTCCCCGTCTCGTTTGCTTGTAGTAACACCGCCCCGACTGCTACGTCACTCGCATTGGCTTGGATTACAAAAGGAGCGTCCATGTCCAGGTGCCTGAGCACTTGTTCGGTAGCAAACAGTTGTTTCAGCTTTTCAAAAGCAGCTTGACATTCCATGGACCACTCCAGTGGTTTACTCAGCTTTGGTTTCACCTCCCCTTTGGTTTTTAGGGGATTTGTGATAGGCATTGCAATCTTTGCAAAAGCAGGGATAAATTGACGGTAAAAATTAGCAAATCCCAAGAAACTTTGAAGTTGTTTCCTGGTGCGGGGAGGGGCCCATTCCAAAACGGCACAAACCTTCCCTGGATCCATTTCTATGCCATCATGTGAGATGCGATAACCTAAATAGTCAATTTTTTCCTGGTGGAATTCACACTTGGACAACTTTACATACAGCTCAGCAGCTCGAAGTTTTTCCAGAACTGACTGCACTAATTTCACATGTTCATCACGAGTCTCCGTGTACTTAAGAATATCATCAAGATAAACCAACACCCCTTTGTATAGATGTTCATGCAACACCTGATTGGTCATTTGCATGAATACTGGAGTGGCCCCCTGTAGGCCAAATGGAAGAATGTTGAATTGGAAACAACCCATTGGGCAGTTAAAAGCAGTTTTCCATTCATCCCCTTCCTTAATTCGAACCCGGTAGTATGCTTCTCTCAAGTTTTGTAAAAAATTTCCCTTTGGCCAAGTGGGCCAACATAACCTTCATCAAGGGGAGGGGGGTACACGTTCTCCACTGAAATAGCGTTCAGGTTTCTGCAGTCAACACATAAACAAAGGGAACCATCTTTCTTTTCACGGAACAATACTGGGGCTGCTACCCGGGGTCTAGCGGGTTGGATGAAACCATGTTCCGAATTCTTATCGATAAATGACCACAGCTCTTTTAGCTCCCATGGTGTCATCGAGTACAGTTTTGGTTTTGGGAGTTTCACCCCGGGTAAAATTTCAATACTGTAATCTGTCAAATGATGGGGGGGGGGGAGCTCATCCGAGGCCTTTTCACTGAATACTTCCTTTAAGTCCCAATATTCCTCCGGAATTTTCTCCTCCCCCTTCAGGTTCTCAGTGCCAGTGGAGGCCAGTTCAGTGAGATTCTTGAGTTTCGGTTGAGATTGCCCCTCCCCTTCTGGGCGCTGGTCAGTACGTATGCGCAATGACCCTCTCCTCCAATCAACGTAGGTGTTCCATTTCCGGAGCCAGGGCAACCCCAGTATTAGGGGCCGCTCCATCCCAGGAGCCACAATAAAATACAAAGTCTCTCTATGCTTCCCCATCATCATTTCTATTGGTTCTGTTATGAAATGTGCAGGGCCGCCCCCAGCTACCGATCCATCCAATTGGCAAAAGGCTATGGGCATTTTTAAAGTCTTTATCCTTAAGCCCATTTTCTCCACTACCTCTGAGCTGATTACACACCTTGTGCACCCAGAGTCTAACAAGGCCAGCATTTCCCCTTTGGCTCCCTCCATGTTCCTCCATATGGCTCCAGACTTATGCCAGGAAGAATCCTAACTCCTTGGGATCCCCCCCATATTTTACTTCCAACGGAGGCACCTTTGGAGTTCTACGTCGTTTGGCAATTACTTCTCCCGCTGGGGGCCCCTGGGCTGCCGCTGCCTGTTGCGCTAGCCTGGGTTGATTTATGGGGGTGGCTGCTCTGATTCTTCTGGCTGGGGCTGCCTCCCCCTCCTTTCCCTCATACCTTTGATCAGTTTGAGGTTCTCCAATAGCTTCATTTAGAAGATGCATGGCTTGAGTTAGTAAAAAATTCTTTCTTTCCTTCTCCTGCCATGGCTCCTCTCTTCTACGCCAACGGGTAGTGGTCACTCCTGGAGGAGGCTTTTCCTCAGGATCCTTCCAACCGACTCCCAGGGACCATTTGGGTTTTACAGCTGGTTTTTCCCCAATATTTAGTTCTGCTAACAAGTCGGCTTCCCGCTTCCTCTAGCAGCAGAGAATCTTGTTCTCCAGTTGCTCCCAGGTCTTCTTGGTCGCTGTCTGGATTTGACATTGTGTTCAGAT